ATCGTCCAATAAATTAGGTTCTAATAAGATGTAATAATAAATGCATTTTGCGATCCGACAACCGTGTCGCGTTGTGTTTCGAATCGTTTTTCGAGTATGCTGTATTTTCATCGAAATACCGTGAGCATAAAAATAATTTTTAATATAACGATGACGAAAAATAAGTGTTCAAGTTCTTAGATAATTGAATTTAAATAACTGAATGTTTGAATTGTGAGGCATTCTTACCTTAATAATTAAATTCTCTTCTTTTTTTATCGCGTAGGATTACAAATACGCACAACATTATTCACGTTTATCCGGTAGGAATTTTAATATAAATGTCTATCGATGATCGCTCGCTGTCGTTTTCCGTAGTATGCTGCTGTACATTTTCCTTATCGTTAAAAAGAGAACAATTTCGCGCGATGTTATAGTCGTACAAAGAGGATCACTGATCGATAGGAACACGGACACTGTTGTGTGTGGTTACGTGCATCAGGGATAAATATTGACCACATGACATATTGGCCATTACCTCATCGATTCGCCGCTGAGAATAATTATTGCTGCTCCACCTTGTAATAGATAAACGCTGGCTTAATAGTTTCATTGTTTGCTCGTAGACGTAGTTAAAATATGTATAATATTGGTTCCGTCATTACCGCTGGGTAATATAAACCCAACCGTGTTGCATTACTTCCGTTAGAATATTACGCACAAGGAGCAAGAGAACTATGAGAATAAATTTGTGTTTTTCGCAACTTATGCTGAAATAAATGATTTCTCATTGACTCAGCTGTTGTAATTCGGTACTGTTAATATATGAAAGAATTCAATTCAATCCAATAATGGCCAATCGACGAGATGGCCTTAATTAAACGCGATATATTTTTCCTCCTTTCTCCGCTAATACGATTAGAATTTTTAATTTACTACTTTTTTTCTATTCTAACTCATCCTTCGATGAAATTTCCCATATATTCTGCGTTGTCCTCTCCATTCCGAAGCGAGCAATGCGATGTTTTCATTGATATAAAATCATTCCTTTTGAAGAAACAAGAAACTCTCGTTTAATTTCTTGCCTCTGACATTATAAATCAGGATGACCGACATAGATATTGCTAAACTTTAATAACAGAGCCGGTGATATATCACAACCGATAGCCTACATAAAAAAGAAGCAAGAAAGCGCGGGTCTACTTTCTCTCGAATATTAAAGAAAATTGTAAGAGAGAGGGAAAAATGAAAACGGGAAAGCCGTTTGAGACATTTCGTCGGATTTGCTTGGAAATATAATCGTGTGTGCTCACCGTTATTTATTTACGTGATCGTCAAACGTAAAATACACACCAACTCAGATTGCGAGCTGCTGCTATTCCGCACCGAGGATAACATTAACGGGAGCAGTGCACTTCGGGGAATACCTTCTCTTTCGTCAACGTACGAACATGCCGCTCTGTCCCGCGCGGAATATAGCGTGCAAACAACAGCGTCGTCGAGATAACCGAGGTGCTGTTGTTTCGTATTCAGTTTATTCGCAGCGATGGTGACCGGTCGTCGAATCGCCGTTGCTTATTTCCGCGCGGTTCGTCCATATTCAGGAAAACCGATGCCGCGGATACGGGAGAGAGAACATCGCGTCTCCTCCGGAGTAAACGAATTCGGATTTCGCGCGCTGCCACCTCGATCAACGATTTATTCGACACGTGTACAGAGAGAATGATCAAGTAGCACCGTCGTTCTGCTTCGAACGTATGCGTACGGACAGAAGAAATTCCTTTATAAAAAAACTCGTCGAAAAATTTTACAAACGTTCACGAATCGATCTCTGTCCCGTTTAAATCGCGAATACACTGCTCTCGCAGGTAGATGCCTGCGCCTTGGAATTGATACGTCTTCTTCGTCCCGTCGCAAGAAAGTTAAGCTCGGTTAGCTTGATAAACCGTGCCAACGGCGGCGAGAGAACGTCGCGCCCATCCGGCAGAAGAACTCGATTCCCGCGCGGCGGGTGCATAAAAATGTCCGAACGTCAGTATATCTGTCCTCGAGTACTGCGTATTCTCCCCGCATCGAGGAGAAATAATGAGTTTGCCAGGCGCGACTCGGGAGACTGCACGCCCGCGAGATTATTGTGAAGCCGCGCGGAATGCCGCGAGTCGCAGCGAAATGAATCCCACGGTTTTTAAATAACTGGGAAACACCGGCGATTGCGGAAGAAGGCATTATAACGGATGAGGTTTTAAGTGGATTTATTCCTTTATCACGACACTCGAGTATCTCGCCCCATTCATTCATCTCATACACACGTCGCGGCGCGCGCTCGCTCCTGTAGGATTTGCGCACGAAAACGAACTTTTCCGCGCGAACTTCCACGAACGTGTTAACGAGAAAGAGAGAGAGGAATTCCCGTGCTTCCAAAAACTTTTCGGATATTGTATGCGCTAATGAGAGATATCGAGAAACCCGGTCAAATTAGGGGAGGGTACGTCGACAGGTGTGAGATAAAATTGTCGTCCCGTGAAATATATTTTGACCTTATTAGGGCGGAATAAATGTTTGAGAATCGAGCGGAGATAAATTCTGCGATATTTTATCCGGTATTTAACTAAACTTTGTTTCTCTCTCACATATATGTGAATTTTTATATGCGGAAAAAATATAATGAATCAATGGAATTTCCAACGGTATATGTGATTGGAATAAATCTTCTTGGCTCGATAGCGATATCACTGAAACTGATATTTTAATTGTTGAAACAGTACACAACATAACACAATAGTTATAATACATAACACAGTACACAATAGTTTTAATGATATTTGCCATTGGTTCAAGAAGGTTCACTCCAATCACGCTGCCGTTGGCAATTTTATCGATTCAACAGCATTTTTTGCCGTATACCGATCAAAAGCAAAATTGATTAATTCGAAACACACGTACGATGCGTGTATTCACATTTTGGAGATTGATTAATGATATGTCGACGCGAAAGAAAGGAAATGGTGTTAATTACGCATTGGCGAAAATGCCGGTGAATTTCATTGGCCTCCAACGGAGGCCCAATGTTTCGTGACAAAAGCATTAATCCATTTCGATGGCTGAAATCATTCTTGCCGATATCCATCGGCGTTGTTAAATGGCTGCTTGTCACACACGCATCGTCGTTGCATGATAGGCCTTGATAGTGTTTCGATCAATCGGCAGCCGTCCGTCGGTATAATAAATTGGCGAATAACGAGTGTAACGACCGTTGCGCGATGCCTGATAAGCGCGACGAACGTGCTTAAACGCGAGTTAATCCATCGTAATCAATGCGATCCGCTTTTGGGAATTCCAAAAACGATTATGTACTTTCTGAATCCGCGGCCGCGGTGCAGCGCGGCGGCGAAATTTACGATCGTTACGCTGTAATCTCCGATTCATCTATTTAATTATTCACACGGCACGATAGAGCACGGACGTTTCACGTGGTTGAACTTCGGGCGAATCCCTCGTCGGGCGTTAATATTAGACGGGATATGCTGATAAATCCACGCACGCGTGTAATACCGACGGGTCTCTATCAAATATAGCGAGAATTCGCTATCGGAAGGCTGATTAATGGTCGTTCTCTCGTCAACTTTAGAGATTAAATGCTAAATTGAAGGAGATTATTACATTGAAATTCACTCGAAATCGTGCGAAGAAAAAAAAATCATTTTCGATATATTCTTGACTTTTTGAAGGGAGTTAAACGACCCGTTAAAATTTTATGCCCGACCTTTTACCGCGCTTCAGCTGCCGTATAATGCGTCTATTAAACACCAAGCGCTTTTGTGGACATCGATTCGATTTTCCGACGCTTCGGTGGTCTCTGAGATGGAACGTGTTACGCGTCATATCATAATCTTTGATGTTATCGGTAGATCCGAGTTTACTTGGTCCGCATTTAAATGCGCCTTTGACACCTGGACGTTAATGGCGAGCTAATAGGCGATGGCTTTGCCGAAAGATGAAATTTTCGTATCACCATCGGCGCGACTATCTTTTCACGAGCTTGCACGCAATGTTCCCGCATCAGTCGGGCAATGTTATATAAAGGCATCTGCGTGACCACTTGGCCTGCGCTGATGAAATTTTCATTCAAATAGCGTTACCGTGAAAGGGTGGCGATGGTGAGTAGATCTGATGAATAAATCTAATCCTTCTGTCAGGCTACTCCTTCCGCCGAACCGCATTATATCCGAGGGAAGTTACGAAATATGGCATATTACATGGCGTATAATATGTTATTATACATAATGTTTAAGAGCGCGAAGAGATTGTGAGAGATAACGTCGATCGCTTTTTTATTCAACTACACGGGAAAAGGTTAGTATCAATTCAAGACGTATTCTCATATATAAACAAGAATATATAATATTATATGAAGATGAACTTTAACCTTAGTAAAATTACATAGAATTTCTTCATGTAAGCAAGATTTATCTTCATATAAGACTATATATTCTTGCTTATGTACATATGAGAATATGAGTCATGAATTGATAGCAGTCTTTTTTTATGGAGTTTAAAAGTTCGTGTAATAGATAAAATCGAATATTAATTCGGTCTTTTAATCAAGAATTGAATCTTTTGTTTTAAAGTTATTCGAACGTAATAATTTTTGATATTCTTGGGGAAAATCTATCTTGCTCAAAAATTTCGAAAAGTTACATTATAATAAAATATATCTTTTTTCATTCGTGTTTTAATATCAGGATCGATACATTTATCAAAGATTTGATATAATAATTATAGATAGTTAATAATAAGTGATAAGACAGATAATCAATAATTAATTATTAATTATCTATCAGTTAATATAAAAGTTTCTCATGAAGTCTACATGAGAGAAAACAATCATCAGGAAGGAAAGTTACCATGGAGAGTTTTTCATGTCGCGAATAGGAAACAAAAATAGGAAAGAAAAATCTCTTTTCGTCAATGGATCGATACTGCAACTTTTGCTTCATGAAATATCTACTTGTTTGTTTCAGGAAGATGACGTGGTGTCGGTCGCGGCGTAAGATGTCAAGTAAGGTAAGACGCGAATTGAATTTTTCGAAACGTCGGTCGCGTGTACTGTTTCCGCGTCGACATTGGATGAAATTTTCATAAAAGTATTTCCGCAATAGCCGGCGCCGGTATGTTGTAACTTTTGCAACATGCTCGCGACCGGTGGCTTCCAGCCTCACGCGTCACGTTGCGTCACGCTTTGACGAACATTTCGAAACGCAGTTTCATCACCAGTCGCTGCGCGACGTGTCCTGTAAAAATAAAATATAGTGAGCCATTGCGCGATCGAGACGCAATGGTGTGCACGCTTGGCACAATGGAAGTGCGATATTTCGAAAATATTATTATCGTCAATGATAATAATCAACGATGATCGACTACTACTTACATCGACCGATGTTTATATATGTATATGTAAATATAGTACTTTTTAAGTAATCTTTTTATTTATTATATATTTCATTTTATAATATATTTCATTGATATATCAGTTGCTGCACAATGTTGCGCATCGCTTCGTTCGAGTGCAAAATTAATAATTCCAATATTGTTAAATTGTTGATCGAGTACACAGGGTGTTTCAGATTACAGACAGACCGGGGCAAACTTTGTGAGGATTAGAACGAAGTAAACAAAAAAGTCCTTTACCATTTTGCAAACAACACGCAAACTTCCGAGTTGCTAATTATTGAAAATGATCATGTACAGAGGCTTCTTTAATGAATAACTCGAAATTTCGTTTGCAAAATGTTACACGACTTTTTTGTTCACCTCAATCCCACGCCCTCACGAACTTTCCCCTTGTTGGTCTGGGACATCCTGTATATATTTTCTGAATATATTTTGGAATGCATAATATTATCACTTCTCACTGCTCAAGCATATCTATATACGGTACATCTTAGCGTGAAATGCTCGCGAGGCCCGGCCAACGCGCGATCTCCTCTTCGCAGCGTAATTTATTTAAGTCGCCAAATATTTGTGGCGCAATACATTTAAATATTTCACCGATCCCCGTGCGGAAATGGCGCCGGTGTCAGAGACACGGATATAGCTCAATGTTTACCGCGATAATATTCCAATATTTGACGTTTACCCCGCACCTTCCCGAGCACTCGTAAAATCTCCGTAGATCGTGTAAATCCCCGTACATCTCGGCCGTGATTATCTCTCGCTCTCTCTTACTGAATTGCATCAACATTGTTGCTGATGTATGGACCCGCCGACCTAATCGCCATCGCCCGTCGTAATCCCACGCATCTCTAATCCTTGAGAGCGTGCTCGCTCGCGATGCATCTCAATCAACGGCCGCGCGCGCTACAAGTTTTCGATTAATCGCCGCCGTAGCTCCAATTTCCAAGTCGCCTTGGTAGCACGCGCGTTATTACTTGTCTACGCCGCGTTATTCGAACATTGTTGCAGAGACCTGGCGGGGATATTGATTTCTCGGTTGGCGTGAATGAGGCGTGTCCGCGCGTCCGCCACAACGGCGAGCGAAAAATCGCCGGCAATTATTTCCTTCTTTGTCCCGCGGGACAGTCGCTCGCCGAAGATCATCAGCGACATTATCGGCGTGCGATTCCCGATCTCGTGGCGGGACGTTGCCGGCGCTGCATCCGCACGTGACTGATGAGACGGATGTGCATGACGTATCAGCGGGAAACGTTTGGCGCGCGCATTTGATACGTCATGTGACGGGACGGGACGATCGCGCGGTAGATGATCGGGGAAATGATCTTGTGCGTTATCAGCGCTACCAATCCGGTCACTCAAATCACCTTTTCTTATTTTTCCCTATTGTTCAAAATATGTCACTACAGTCACTTTTGTGTCGCCGTAAAATCTGTAAAATACGGACGTTCTATGTATTTTTACCGTCCCTCATAAAACTGCTCCGAAAGCTGTGCTTGTATCGCCATCATTCATGCTCTTTGATCTTTCTTCGTGTGAACTTTCAAACTACGAAAAGAACTCGTTATATGTTAGGTTATTTCAAGATAAACCTGGGAAGGTAAAAGTGAAGTTACTTTTTTGCCTGGTTCGAGTTACTCTCGGACAAAAAAATGTCATTTCCGATCGTTATTTTGGTACCTGAGAGGTCATTTTTTGTCACCTTCTTTTTTGCCAAGAAGCAGTCATTACTTCACTTTTTTGTTCCGGTGACTGGGTGGCAACTATGCGTTATGCAAGCTTCGTTGTTCCTCGAATTGCCTTTATTATTATTTTCGTTATTGTTATTTGGCAAAATCGAGTCGCCGGACGGAGCACCGAATTCGAGAAAGCCCGTACGCGATCCGTGGCGATGCGCTGTGCTCCGTGTGTTCATTTTTATCGCATTCGGAGATATCAAAGCTAATGCGGTTGTATCGTGCCGATGGTTCCGAGTCTTTGACGGGGCGTACAGCGACGGTTACCGATGCACAATCAACCCTTTCAACCCTGTCTTTTCACGATTCGCGCAGCGGTTTCACTTGGCCGCACGCCGCTTTATCGCGCGTTTATTTATTCCCCACTAATAACGCCGAGGAAATTGAATTTCTTCGTGTCTGTGCTGCGTCGAGAAACAGCGATCGTCGGAAACGCACACGAGCCNTTTTTTTTTTTTTTTTTTTCCCCCCCCCCCCCCCCCCGGGAAAAATCGCCTGCACGCATGCTTGCTCGCGTGCGCGACTTAATTGAGCGCTAAACGCGCAAAGCACTTTGTTATTGTTTTCTCTTTGATGCCGCCTACGGATTTAGACCGGTATGCGGCGACATATCGCGTTTAACGAATGCAGCTGTCGGAGGCTCGTATGCAACCTCGTATCGCATATCGGACAATAATAACAAAGCAAAAACAGGCGTGCGTCCGCGATGCTAAATACGGGGGATACCGTGTGCGTCGCGGATCTACGGCTTAAGGGACGTTATTTCTGAAATCGCGAGCGTAGGCGCGCCCACGGAAAAGCTTAAACACTGCTTAAACCGTGAAATATGAATGCGGTCTCTAGCGTGGGGCTGCGGTATTCCTATTTTACCTTTGAGCGGAGCCGTGGCTTTAATCGAACCACGACAAACGGTATTCGGGAGTGAGTTTGCGGATGTAATCGATGAATTTCGCACTGTAGGTGATGCCCCGACGAGCTGTGTAATATTCTCTCTCCCTGTGTCTTTCTCTTCCTCTCTTACTCCTCCCCCACCCCCTCCCGCCCATTCACCCCGTCTCTTTCTCGTTCCATTGTACGGCCGATGTTTACCGAGTTCTTCGCTAAGCAGAAATAATCGGACCCGCCGGCAGCCGCGATCGATACGCGCGTTTATCAGCGGTTCCCGGGTTTCGCGTGGAGGGCGGGATCCTTTGAAAATAAAACACAGCATATAAATATTTGACAGCGCGGAACACAGCGCCGTATAAAACCGTCCGCGCATATTTCCCCCGGCGGCGGGATCCGCGGCGTTTTTAACACCGTCCGCGAATTTATCCGCCGGTAACAGCATTTACGCGCGCGCATAAATATCGCGAAAACGATTTCCCCTCTCGCGCGTTCTTTTCGCGCGCTAATAAACCCTCCGTCGTAATATTTCGCCCGTCGAAACTCGCGCGCACTGATGCCGTTTTTTTTTCCCGGTTTTTCTCTTTTCCTTCCCTCCTCGGCCTCCTGTCAGCGGTCGAAGCGCGTAAATCAGACGAGGCAGCCCGCGATGTGAGAGCGAACATTTTTTTCGAGTCCTTTCGGAAACGTCCTCCTTTTTGCTCCGCTCGCTGATCGCGGAAATAACCTCGCGTGCATCCCGATACCTTCGTACCGTTGATTGTAATACCGTTCGGGAAGGTGGGCGGGTGGAAAAGCGAGATATCAATGTTGCCACGATCCTATACGGAGCTTTTGAAGTTGAAACGTTGCGTATTAATATTTGATAGGATTATTTCATTCGACACGGATGCAAAATATTCCGCTTAACTTTCGCTATCCAACAACGTAACGCGCGTATGATACGAGGACTGTGCTCGAATATCCGCGGAATTAAAAGAAAAGGCAATTGACGTAAATTTCACCCGCAATTAATGATAATTAAGCTGGCCCGGGGATCCGGCGACTTTTCGGCTAATATTTATACAATGGTGTGATAACGATAATGATATAATGACAGTAATATTTCGAAGAGTATGTAAGAGAGGTAAGAGTGTAAGAGAAGTAGCAATTATCCTCGGATGGATAGAGGATGCACCGGCCAACGCGTCACGGCACTCTGCATTTTTATAAAATACCGCATCATCGCCGAGCTTAAAGCACTGAGCAACGAAGCCGAGGCCGACGATCCCCGACGCGGTCGCGCGTTCCTCGCGCGTATCGACGCACACACGAGTGTGTGTGTGTGTGTGTGTGCACGCATGTGCGCATGTATGAAATAATAACGTTGCGGCGGGACAAAATTGCGGCGTTATAAAAATACACTTTCGACACAGCTGCAATGTGGCGGTCGGTTGGTCGCAAAAAAGCCGTGGAACGAGCCGCGGAAGTGATCACCTCTCCCTCCCAGGCGTTTTTATTGCGCGGCCGCGCCGTGACGCTCCTCTCTCCGCGTCTTACGGATATTTTCCGTTCCCAGCCGGCGTGTCCGCCGCCTCCGTTCTACCCTTTTTACAGCCGCCGTGTTCCGCGCCATTGGAATATACACGCGATAGCGGGGACAAAAGAGAGGGGAAAACTCGGACACACGCGCGACCATCTCGCGGATTTGCATGCTATCGGAAACGAGCGCGCGCGTACGCCAATCTGCATAGAGTATCGTTTCAATTATCCTCGATCGAGACGCTCGTGTCTGTTTCGCGAAGCGAATTATAATCTAAATATTCCGCTTTCCCCGCCCCCGTCATCGATCCGTCTCTCGCAGTCTCGAGCTCGCGGGCGCTAGCTCGGTGCATTTGACGAGGGACAAAATGACGGAACAGGTCGGTCGGAACGGCGCGCAATAGCCGGCCGAGCGTTGAAATATTAGACCAATCTAACGTTTCGTTTCCTCGGCAATCGGTCTACG